TGTTCCAATTGCCACTCTCCCCTTTAAACCACTCCAGGGAACATTTGCAATACAGTACACATACTCTTACTACAGAGTTATTTTGATGAATATTTAATGAACAGGAAATGATAATAAATATTGTCAAAGGTTCATTGAGAGATAGAATTGCCTGTTCTGCCAAAAGTCCCAATCTGTGGCTGCCTCCCTTATTTGTAATACAGTCTTGCATCATGTTACATCTGCAATTGCAAAAACAACCCTAGTATGGCTGAATGCTTGTTAATTATCAAAGGGTTTTATGCCAGCCAGGTTACTTTGGAGTGACTGGGCCACATGGCCTCCTTGAGACCCTGATTGCTGAAAAACTTCTGGATTGATTAGTGGATGAATGCATACAGGGCAAAGGGTTGATTCTCCTGAAAGGGATGATGGTCCCTGGAAGCAGAACACAAGTTATTAGAAGGAAACAAGACAGGTTCTCCAGAAACCCACAGTCTAGCAGAGGAGATGAAACTAACCACCAACGAACAGCCATGAACAATGTAAGGCAAGTGGAATTAAGTGCCAAATTGTGTGGTTATATCAAAGGGTATATGGGTTTCAGAGATCAGGAAAGAAATGCAAGCTGAAATAGCTGGAAAAAGCTGCTCGTAGACACTCCAGCCATAGATTTTTACAGAAGGTTAACTAACAAGCTACTCTGTGTACAGATTCAAATGAGGCATGTTTATCCTCATTCCATCCTGACCCAATAATCACCCTTCCTTGTGCAATTCTCAGCAGGCAACACAGCTAGGGTTCAGGCCTTGAAATGAGACCTGACATCAGGTCTAAGGATGGATGCAGTTGAAAGAGAACGTCACATGGGTCCTCAGAGCTGAGCTCCAGTCCTGGCATTAGCACTGACTAGCTGGGACAGCAGGCCCCTGAGGGCCACTGGCAAAGAGGAACCATGTTCATTCCCCACAGATACTTCAAATGAGCTTTCAAACCAGTGAAACATAGGAGATGCCAAGAGATCCCACAAGATTTGTGGTTTTTTAATAATTTTTATTTTTCAGTTATAATTGATACACAATATTAAATTGAGTTCAGGTGTATAGCATAGTGATTAGACATCTATATAACTTATGAAGTGATCACCCTAGTAAGTGTAATAGCTATCTGACACCATGCAAAGTTACTACAATATTATTGACTATATTCCCCATGCTGTGCTTTACATCCCAGTGACTGTTTTTATAACTGGCAATTTGCACATCTTAATCCCTTTCCCTTTTTCACCCATTCCTCCAAACCCCTTCCCTCTCATCTGGCAACCATCAAAATGTTCTCTGGATCTATGAGTTTCTGTTTTGTTTGTTTATTTCTTTCCACGAGATTTGTTCTTAATCCTCTCAGATGTGTGGAGAAGATGAGATAATGAGCTCTTGCTGAAGTGTGCTCTCTCAGACAAGGCTGGCTTTTCCCAGGAGCCCTGGGGGCTGTCCCAGGTGCCGCTTCATGATTCAGGAACAACACTTGTGCTCACTGTATCCCTCCCACAAGACCATCCCCAAAAGCACTTTAAATATCTCTCTGGTTTTCTTGGTAAGAAAGAATCTAAAATCTGTCGGCCATATTAATCTATTTGAGCAATATTATCTCAGATGACCTTGGATTACTTTGATTCCCAACCTAAGATAAACCCAACTGGATAATTTCATCAGGTAATTAAGATATAATTGTGACTTTAATAATGTTGGGAGGATACTGCCTCTGAAGTAAGATTCACACAAACTAGGGAAGGTGAAATTGGGCAGAGAATCTGGCCATTGTCATCATAACTAGTTATCTAATGGGACTGTGTCCAGACTGGAATTTCAGCTCTTGTGTATAAAATACACAAGACTAGGTAATTTTTTTAAACCTGCAGATGTAATCTCTTTGACCTTATGTGTTTCCAGGTAAATTTTAGGAAATATAAACAGCTTCATGGGTCAAGGGTGGGGTATTAGACTGCATTGCTTAGGCAAGGGAACTTTTAGTAAATTATGGTACTTCCCTTAATTATGCTGGAGGTAGGATTGATCATATATACTATAGCTTTACCTTTGGAATAAGACATACCTGAATTATAATCTGGAATTTTTCACTGACTAATCATGTAATCCTGGGAAAATTATTTAACTATTCAGAGTCTTCATTTCCTCCAGGACAAAATATTACCTCCAGCATGGGGTCATTTTTAGAATTATATGACAAAAGGTATGTACAATGTTTAATATCCTGATTGGCACAGAGCAGATGCTTAATAAATGGCTGCCAGTATTAGGAAGGGCATCACACCATCATGGTTTGGCACCCTTGTTCTGGGGTCAAGGAGACCATGGCCAGGATCTAAACATCTTCTCTTTCTATCTATGAAACCTTAGGCAAAATACTCAATATTCCTAAGCCTCAGTTTCTTCAACTGTAAAATAAAGATAAATATTGCATTCTCATAATGTAATTGTCAAGCTGAAATGACATAAAGCCTTTACAGTTTTCAGCCTGCCACCTGACTCAGGGCAAGACCTCAGTAATGTTGACAATAATATGTTGAGACAGCAATCCCAATATGGTGAGGAGAGTTAACTTACTTGAGCTCCTTCATTATCCCCAGTGGACTCAACTTTTGGAATCAAGAGAAAGAGGAGTTTGGGAAAACACTTCAAGTTAAAGTAAGCACAAAGTTTAGGGGCCCCTCATCTCTGAAGGGTTCACCCAACTAAGATTGTCTCTCTTTCCTCACTCCCTCCAGAGATCTCATATTTTTTCTACATTACATATTATTTAAAAAAAAAAACATTTTACAAGTAAGGATATCAACCCATGTGTCCCTGGGCTTTCTTAAAATGTCTACTGGTCATAGACCTTTGCTTTTGCTCTTATAAACTGTTCTGGATTCAAGAAACCTGTTGCTGACCTCTATTCTGGGCCCACTCAAGCTGCTGGCACCCCAAACCCCTTCTTAAATAAGATCATAAAGAACCAGGTGTCACTTCCTGGTCCTAAAACTTTCCTCATGAAAAATATTGATGAAATTGTGTTTCTGAAAAATAAACAAGTTCTACCACATTAGGTAAAAATCCATATAAGTTTTCAAAAATCATTACTATGTTTCTATTTTATTATTGAGAAACTTGAGACTCTAATTTGGTTAAACAAGTTTCCCAAGAACATACCAAAGATGGGATATGGCCCAACTAAGTCTAGCTTAACCCTAAAAGAAGAAAGAAGAAAATATATAAACTACCCCCCAAAATTCCAAAATCAAACTTAATCCTCTTCTGCCATGGAAGATGAGTATTTGCCTAATCCTCATCTTAGAGGTACTATGGTTTTAAAAGTTGAGACTTAGGTCTGCAGAATGTGTAATTCTTTTTCTGTAAGAGGACAGCAAGTTGTGGCAGAAAAAGCACAGAGAGTTAGAAATTCTAGATTTAAGTGTTGATTCTGTTTCTTCCATGTGTGTGGCAAGTTAGGCAACTTCTTTAACCTCTGTAAGCCTCATTTTGGTCATTCGTAAAGCAGTCATGGCTATACCCAATTTGTGGGGCTGCTAGAAGGATTGTAGCTAATATATCCAGTGGGCCTAGCATGCATGTGGCACAAACCCAGTGTGGCTGCATCTGTAGCCCTATGATCTGCCACCTAATCTCCGGTCAGGTGCACCGAACAATCTTGTCCCTAAATCAAAGGGAACCCCAGGACCTTGCCATGGGGTGAAAAGAAAATAGACTACAACTATCTCAGAATTACATATTGAGAAACATGTTAAAATCAGCCAAGTTTTCTCATGATTCAAAAGTAAGAAGAATATGATTATCTAAAGAACTACAGAGAGATTTTTACTCCATTAATCATAAAGGTGAAGTAAAATCTAGGGAGACAGCAAAAGAAATTCATAGCAAAGAGCAGAGAATATACTATAGAATCATAAACATTCAGAACCCAGTGTCTCCTTCTCACCAGTGACCCCTGATTAGAGCTGCAGGAAGCCCCCAGATCGAGATTAGAGTGAAAAAGATTAAAGTGGAGGGAAAGGCTTTTAGTTATCTGTTATTAATATTATGAGATATAACTGACAACAACTTTGTATAAGTTTAAGGTATTGAGTGTGCAATTTGTCATATTTATATATGGCAACATGATTGCCACCATAGTGTAAACTAACATCTCTTTCATGTCTCATAATTATTGTGTCTTCTTTGTGATAAGAACAATTAAGAACTAGTCTCTTGGCAACTTTGAAGTTTATAATATAGTATTGTAGATTATAATCACTATATTGTTCATTAAATCTCCAGAGCTTATATCTTCTAGTTACAAGTTTGTAGCCTTAAACAACATATTCTAATACCATGTGACTAAGCAATTTTTGACCAAATGATGAATGATTATACAATTTGAAAAAAATATATTAACAGGTAATATGAGGGAATAGTCAACATAAAGAGTAGATTCATCATCTTCCAACTTCTGAAAGGTTTTCATGAAAAAGGATTAAATTATCACGAGCGCCTGGAAGGGGTCAAAACTAAGCCAATATGTGGAAGATAAAGGGAAAGAGAATCCAAGTTCAAAAAGAGAATTAGCAAGTAGAGCTGTCCACAGTTGGAGACCCACACAGCAACTTATGGCCATGTGGAGAGTACATCGCAGAGGAGACTCCAGCAACCAATGGGGATTAGAACAGTTGCTGAATAGATTCTTTCCAAATCTCAGAGTCTATATGTGCCTCTTATCTTCACAGAAATGTCTAAATATAAACAAGAATTTGTTTGAATAAGGAACACCAGCTCATGGCTCAGCTTCAAAAATACAGAAGAACATTGATGCCCCAGGAGAATCAGCCAGGTACAGGATTCTCAAAAACAAGTTTAATGAATTGGTCCATAAATATAAACCTAACTTTCACTGAGGAAGGAAAATTGTTCTTCAATTCTGATATTTTTTTCTTTATTTTACTCTCATCAAGAGTCCTCATTGAATCCATGGCCAAGAATAATCTCACCACAGTGACCAATTTCATTCTCATGGGCTTTACTGACTACTCTGGGTTGGAGAGTCTCCTCTTTCTGGTGTTTCTGAACTTCTATCTAGTCACCCTTCTGGGGAATGTAGGGATGATTATTCTGATCCAACTGGATGTCCAGCTCCACACCCCAATGTACTTCTTCCTGAGCCACCTCTCCCTTCTAGATGCCTGCTATAGCTCAGTCATCACCCCTCAGATCCTGGCCACACTGGCCACAGGCAAGACAATCATCTCCTATGGCCAATGTGCTGCCCAGTTCTTTTTCTTCACCATTTGTGCAGGTACAGAGTGTTTCCTGCTGGGAGTGATGGCCTATGACCGCTACATCGCAGTTAGCAACCCACTGCTCTACACTGTAGCCATGAACCCCAGAATCTGCTGGAGTTTAGTGGTGGGAGCTTATGTCTGTGGGATATCAGGGGCCATCCTGCGTACCACGTGTAGCTTCACCCTCTCCTTCTGCGACAACAATCAGATCGACTTCTTCTTCTGTGACCTCCCACCCCTGCTGAAGCTTGCCTGTGGTGACACAACAAACACAGAGATTATCATTATCTTCTTTGGCAACTTTGTGATTTTGGCCAATGCCATGGTCATCCTGATTTCCTACCTGCTCGTCATCAAGGCTGTTTTGAGAATGAAGTCTTCAGGTAGCAGGGCTAAGTCTTTCTCCACATGTGCCTCCCATCTCACTGCTGTGGCCCTTTTCTTTGGGACCCTCAGCTTCATGTATCTGCGGAGTGGCTCAGGCAAATCTCCAGAAGAAGACAAGGTCATATCTGTCTTCTACACTGTGGTCATCCCCATGCTGAACCCTCTGATCTATAGTTTGAGAAACAAGGATGTGAAAGCGGCCTTCGAAAGGGTCACTGGTAGATTCCATGTGTTTCAGAACATGTAGATCTGAGTGAGAGGACCTCTCCTTTGGGTTCATTTTCTTCCCATATCAATATATTTTAAGAGGCACCATCACTATATGCAACCTGTAACTATGTACAGAAGGAAGATAAATAGGTGTCACGAGGCTCACAGAAAAAATCTGCAGATGTGGAAAAAATTTGTTTCCAGCAACTGTATGGTACTTTCTTCTTCTCCCTCTCTCCCACCTCACATCCATTCCTAGCACCCAGAAGTCTCATTCAGCACTACAACATCATGACTTATAGAACCTCAGGGGCCCAAGGTGCCTTCAGTTTATCTCTTTTCACCCCATTACTCTTTACATCTATGCTTAGGTTTCCCATTTGTTTTCTCTTACTTTTGCTCCCATTAATATTGTCTTTTTCTCTGTGTCTAAGATTATATCTGGGGATCTCTTTAAATAATACTAAGTGTCTTATTTTCTTTTAATGTGTGAGTGACTGGTTATCTTAATAAGTAAGGAGTGTTGTATGAGACAAAACTGAGTTTCTAAATGGTCAGAGGAAGTGATCGAGAAACAGGTTTTCAAGCCCAGGTCACCCCCTTGGCGTGTTTTTCTTCTTGCTCATGCCAGGAAAAATGGAATTTGCAAATTCTGAATTTGCAATTCTGAAATTGCCTTCCCATTTGATTACTCATTGGTTTTGTTGTTCCTGCTTTAATGCTAGTCTGACATCATCAAGATTAACTAAACCACCTTATCTCTGGGGATTTCTGCTCAATGACCAATGCCCCAGTTTCTGGGGAATATGATGCATTGTTTCTCCCCGTCATCCCCATTGTCTGCCTCATATAAACAGTTCTCTCCTACCAAGCATCCCATTTCCAGGAATAGCAAAGTCAGGTATAAGAAGGAAGTTGAACCACATATTTCTTCTAAGGCAATATATTTCATCAGAGCAGAAGTTACTGTAACTCCTGCACCAGAGTTCAAAGCTCTGCAGGGCAGAGTGTGTTTTCATCATTGCTGAACTCATCCTCAGGTCCAGAGTCTAGACTAGATGAGCTCTCAATGAACACTTTCAAGCACATTTTCATTGCACATGCATGGCCTCATTTGAGCCTCATGAAAACTCTGTAAGACAAATAAGGACGATGTGGTGAAATATGAGATTCCCATTTTGCTATTAAGAAAACATTTTCTCATAGTCCCTATGGACTTCTTCTAGAGTCTGTTTATTCAGAATATACAGCAGTAGACAAGGCATAGCTTTCAGAGTAAGGCTTATATGTGAATCATGATTCTACCATTAATTCACTGAAACCTAAGGTAAATGGTTTAATTTCTCAGATTCTAAATTTCCTCAGGTCTAAAACAAATATAACAGTTCCTAATTCAAGAGCACAGTATACCCTGGTTGGTGTGGCTCAGTGGATTAAGTGCTGGCCTGTAAACCAAAGGGTTGCTGGTTCAATTCCCAGTCAGGGTACATGCCTGGTTTGTGAGCCAGGTCCCCAGTAGGGAGTGCATAAAAGGCAACCACACATTAATGTTTCTCTCCCTCTCTTTCTCCTGCCCTTCCCCTCATTCTAAAAATAAATAAATATTTTTAAAAGAGCATATTATAAAAATTAAACAAAGCAATTAATAAATCTCTTAGCACAAATCACCTGCTCAGTATATATTGTTCTCTTCCCTTTCCTTTCTCTCACTTTCTGATATCAACACTGGCCATTGACAAAAAAAAAATGAAATTGATCACAATGAAATGACAGTGAAAGACAATGAACTGAGGAAGATGAATAACTCAATCTTTTTCATCCAAGAAATGAAATAAGCTTGGATGTTTAACTGGAGGGAGGGCACATTTATCTATATCCCACACAGTAAAAGTTACCAAATGGGTATCCTTTTATTAAATACATTGTTATATACCCAATGAACCTCTTTATCCAACCTCAATTTTATGACATGTTGATCCTCTGTGCTCCTACATATGGGAGCAACCACTTTGCTGAAATGGCCCACCACCTTACCTGCACTTGTTTGGTTCAGAAATAAATTTTTTTGTTTAATAAAAATGTTTAGTAAACATTTTTACCTTGACATTATAAAGTTGAACATTTAAAAGAGATTCAGAAAAGAAGACTAGGTTGACCAAAGTAGAGAAGTCAAGAGAGAGACAAGAATGAAACAATTATTCAAAGACAATATACAACAGAAGACTAAGAAAGAGTGCTTCTGGGTTATTGTATTGAGGGCAGTCACAGTAATTCTCCTGCTTCCTTAAGGTACATTGGGATACTTCAACAAATTCCTGTTTTTTGCACTAACTAGTTCAAGTTTGTTCATCAGGTTCAGAAGATTCTATATTTAATAGAACTCTATTGGAAAGAAGTTCAGCATATTATAGCCGATTTGCCTTTGTTGACACTAATTACATCTACAGTCTGAATAAAAATAAAGATTGGATCTTAGTCCCCTCTATATGTCTATCATTCCCCTATTATAGAGGAAACTTTCCCATCCATAGTGCTTTGCTTAGGTAACCACGGTTCTAGCACTTGACTTTGCCCTTCAGACTAGAACAAGCCCCTGACCCAGGGTTCATCAATGCATGAACAGAAAAGAGAGCCAGGACATTCCCTAGAGTTTTTCAATGATTATTAAACAGAAACAATAAAGTTATGTCTCTCTTTAGGATTGAAATTTTAAAATATGGAAAAGAACTAAGTCAACTAAGAAATGAGACTTACAAATGGTAACCAGATATAGAGAGAATGGCTGAGTCATTTTAATGGCCAAAAGCCAGAGAGAAAATGAGCAAATATAAGCTGCTGCAGAGACAGCAATGCAACCCAGACCTAGTGCTGCGTTAGAGTTTTCCAAGTCTTAAATTATGTTCCAGGCTGCATTTTAGGGCTCTCCATAGGTTCCGAAGAAAACCCTATCTTCATTTTGGAATATAACAGTCTTAACCATAAACCCACATTCTACTAGATAATCTGAATGGGACTTTGTTACAATGTAGAGGACCTAAAAATTATTGTCCTAGTTCCTAATAACAAAATAATAATGATAATGATAATAATAACAACAACAGTTAAGACTTACAGAGTGCCCAACATTTGAACTGTGGGATGCCAAATTTTACTTCCAGTAGAATTACTTATCCACCTAGGCTTAAAGTCGTGATACTAATTGAAAAAGAATGACACACAGAGATATGATCAGCCTACTAGAAAGGAAATATAAGGAAAAAATAGGGTGACTCAGACACAAGGATCTAGTAAAGGCTCATTTATCCAGTCTAGGGTGATGGCAAGAGAAATATTCAACCCTAGCAGCCACTGGTGTACCATCTAGTGGTGTTGTGGTCCATAACATAACACATGAAGCCAACAGACCATCCATTGTCTGGCTCTTAGGAATAAGTTTAAAATGTGCACAAAATAGCCCTGACTGGTGTGGCTCAGTGGTTGAGTGCCTGCCTGTGAATCAAAGGGTTGCTGGTTTGATTCCCAGTCATGGCACATGCCTGGGTTGTGGGCCAGGTGCTCCAGTAGGGGCACTTGAGAGGCAATCACAAGTTGATGTTTCTCTCCCTTTCTTTCTCCCTCCCTTCCCCTCTGTCTAAAAATAAAGTCATTAAAAAATGTGCACAAAATAAGAACTAAAAAGCACTGCTGTGGAAAATAGTCTCAAAGCTTTTGCTACAGTGGTTTGGTCACTTTGTGCACAGTACAAAGCCACAGCAATATATTTTATTGTTTGGTATCTCCTTCATATTTTGCAGTAAGCACTTTCAGTAGCAACAAACTCAAAAAACAGAAATGCATGTTAGTCAAGAAAGTTGATGATGAACGTGCATTTTGCACAAAATGTTTGTCAGCTTTTATCATTCATTATGGGACACAGAGTAATATCCATGGGGACTTGAAAAGTTAAGAAGATAGGAATCTGCTGTGGGTACATTAACACTTGCTTTCAAACACTGTGCCTGCTGGTAATGGCTTAAAATAGCAGGTGTGTTTACATTTCACCCTGGAAAATGTGACTTTTCACCCCCTTCAAAGGTAATTTAGCTCAAGATTTCTTTCCTGCTTCTTATCCACAGGAGGGTAAAGTATATAAGCCTTTGCTATGCTACCTTTTAATCAACCTAAGTGATCTACAATAATATTGAACTCATTTGTTTAAATGCTCTCAAAATTGTAATTATGTTTATTTAAAATTAGTCAGAAATTTTGTATTCTTAATCAAAACATATAATGAATGGAACACAAAAACCTTCAAATTTGGAAGGTTTTAGCAAGTTCCAAGTATTGGAAACAAATCCTCCATAGGAAGGGAAAAACTGAACAAAATAAATAAGCTAAAATAGTGTACAAGATGTTCTGAAATTACATAATTGTGGCTTGGAACACATTGACTTATGGCAGGGACAGGTAATGCATTGAATCTTGATCTAGAAGTTCAAGTGTGTTAAGGATGTGAAAAGTCATGTACAGTACTGATTTTTCTGAATGTTTGTTATACTTCAATGACTTTTTAAAAATTATGGACATGAAGGATATTCTTCTATATGACCATAATAATGTAATAGCATCATAACACCTAAGAAAATGACCAGTTTTACCCCATCATATAATTTAATATCTAGCCTATATTCATATTTTCCTTGTTTATTCAAGAGTGGGTTTTTTATTTACATCTGTTTTCATCAGGATCCAATCCAAATTCAAGCACTGTATTTGATTGTTCTATTTTTTTATATTTGTTGAACCTAGTACAGTTCCCTTCCTTTTCATTTGTTCTAAGACACTGAGAGTAGTGTTATAAATATTCTATATTCTAGATTTGTCTGATTGGTTGCTAATATGTCTAAGCAAAATTCTGGAATGACCTCCAGTGATGCATGCCCTTATGTAATCCCTCCCCTAGAATGAGGGCAGGACCTGTGAATATGATGGGACACCACTCCAATTATGATGTTAGCAGACTTTGAAGATATAAGTAAGGTCCTGAATTCATGGACT